AGGTTCATTCCTTTTCCTGTTATTTCTTATTGTGGAATGTCTTTAATAAATTATAACTTTTTTTACAATTATAATTTTTTATAAGCACACCTTCTTCATAAAAATCTTCCCTGTTAAATTTTCACATTTGCTCTGTTAAGCGTGAAAGAATTAAATTGATATTTTATTCAATCTATATCTTTTTTTCTTTGATTTTTTTCTACTTGTGAAGAACTTGCGTTAGATTAAAGGAATTCTAATTCTTTTATTCCCTTCTCTCCGAACAATAAATTTTTCTCTCACTCACACTTGACATGCACTGTCCCATTCGGTCTTTTTTCTTGTTCCACTTTGTCTTCCTTCTTTACTTCCACTTTTTTTATTTGCACTTTTCTCGTTCTCCTTATCGAGACTTTTCGTTTGGCAAGAACTTTGATGAATCGAATTCTCTACGGGGTGACGACGGTGGTCCGCCACGCAGCCTCCACGAGATGCCCGAACGAACAATGAGATGTAAGTGCCAAGCTTTATTCCAAGATGATCGCTCGAGATGTCGCTGACGATGGACTCCCGTTATCTATAATACTGATCGTCAAAGAGAAAAGAGTTTTATGACCTAGAAGATAATATTAGAGACTGCTACGAATGATTGCGGATTTCTGAGTACCGCAAAATTTGCTACAATTTGCATATATATAAAAATTATGCAATAAAAGTGATGCAAATGAATTGAAATGGAATCTCCGATTTCTCTATCAAGACATCTTCATTCATTTCAAGATATTCTAATTATTATTAGAGTAAAAATTGAAGCTCTGCTCTCTAAAATCTTGGGGGGGGAAGTAACTCTCTAATTAAGAATAAAATATCATTCTTAAAAATGATCCACTCTTTTTCATTATTGGTTCAATTGTCACTCTTTAAAATTAAATTCCATTTCAAAAATTCTAGAGAGTAGTTTATATTCTTTCAATTACTTATATATATAATTTGAAGATTATTTTTGTAAATTGTTGTTAAAAGGAAATATTGTATTTAAAGGAAATATTGTATTTATTTATTTATTTACTTTGTTGTAATCAATGTTGTTCAAAAACATCCTGTATATTAATCATGTATCATGCAAAACGAGAACCAGTTGTTATGAAAATTCCTACGCAGGATGCAATATCGTTTTTTATATTTTCAACGACGCACTATTACCGAGAATTCCCAAAGGCGTAGTGGGATAATGCAGAACAGGGCGATTTCAATACAGAGATCGGTCGATTCGCGCAGAACTGGATACACGCGTGTCCGGTGGAAAGCAATGGAAAAAAAGAGAGAGTGTCGCGATTTGAATGCTCCCGCAGAAATGAAAATACCCGACGCGGCACGATAATTGCTCGCGTCGTGTCGCTTTTACGAATTTCCATCGAGGCGCGATCGCAAGCGCGATCGGAAACCACTAACCAATCATCCAGCCAATTTCGTTCAAACTGTAGGGTATGCGAAAAATACAATACATGTACCACGAGTGCCGCTTAAAAATCAATTTCGTAAAATAATATTAATAGGCTTGTCTGAAACAGTGAAAAGGAAGAGGAAACAAGCCTCTGAAAAAATATTTGAATGGTCGAGACTCGCATCAGATTACAAGACAATTAAATATTCAATATAATTGAATATTTAAAGGTAAGGGGAAAGTTGTTCTGTGTTCGACTCTTTGACTTTATGTTTAGGAGTTTTCGGAGTCGATAAATTTGATTCTGACCTCAAGAAAATAAAATTTCAATTTTAAGAAAATAATCTGATTATCGTGAAACTCAAGAGATTTTTGGTATCGTTGAGCTCAAATACTTAAAAATGTTGAACCTCTAGTGAAGGAGGATCTAGTGTCATAGGGCTTACAATAACAGAACAGAGAGTTTAAAAATCAGTTTGGAAATTAGTAGCAATAATGAGCTTCAAATAAAGCGAAACTGAAAACTTTATATTACTTTGCATTAAAATGAATCCCTAAAACTGAGTTTTATAATAATCAGATCATTTTTTTTTAATTCTTCGCCACTACTAGATCTCTATCTATTTTCAATTTTTTATTTTTGTGACCTCTGATACGAATAAAACATCATCAAATTATCTTATAGGCTAAGTTTCATGAGAAAAGCAGTTTATAAAAAAAGCTGTGTAACCCCAAATGAGATCGTTGATTCACAAAGGATTAATAATCCTACAACAAATAATATGCGCGAATGTGAAACGTTTCATTTACAGTTAGCGAAACTCCAATGCAAGATTCTTATGTAGAAAAAATTATCTTGCGTAATTGTAACAGCCTTACACAATCCTTACACAAGATAGAATTTTAAAATATAACATAATCAAATATAACGTAATCAAAGACAATTCAAGTTGAAGTAAAATTTAAAAAATGATAAAAATTTTTCTGTGAGGTATCTGTACATCTGTAAAAAGGAATACGCATATTTTTGATAAATAACGAATCACGAAGGGATTAAACGCGGTTTAAGCGTTCGAATGCACGTGTGAAGAAGCATCCCGCGAGAGAGAGCTTGCGGATGCGGTTGCACGTATTCCGTGAATTTCACAACGGCTGAGTGCAGCCGCGGCAGCATCGTCGGGGTGCATATTGTGGTGTCGCCGCATGCATGCGCGTTTATATCGAACGCGCGCTACGTAACGTGCAACACAATCCGGGAAGCGACGCGCGCTATATGCGCCGATGTAAGATTTATTTCGAGATTACATACCGTAGTCACGAGAGCCGCATTTCCGAGCTGCGACGATCGTGTTTGCCGACGTAATCAGCAACTCGCGTTATGAATATCGTAATACTGTGCAGTTCTATTATAATCCCACGCGCACAACACGATCACAAGATTCTCTGCTGCAATCATGAAGACGCGATTCCGTCTAAATTTCTCGCGGAGAAACTGCCAATGTAGATTATCGCGCGAATCTAATACATACTAAGAATTTACAAAGTTATACTGTATATATTGTATGGACACAAAGTGATAGTATTCCCATAATTCAAAATATCATTTAATTTCGGATTATCTCGGATTTCATTCCAAGAAATTTAGAAAGAATTTGGAATAGAAATAAAAAATTTATCGAAAGAATCTTTTTATATCCGATAAAGATAATAACGGTTGTATTGATTCTTATTATAAAATTTAAATTGACATTTTCCACTTTTTTCGTATTTATTTTTCAAGATGTTATATTGATCTTCCTTTATTTATTTTTACATTAATTTATCTTAAGTTTTTTTTTACAAAGGTACATAATTATATTTACGCAGTCAATCCATATATTTCACGTAAAACATAAAATTAGCGATGAGACACTACCGTGTTTCCAGATTAGACTTCGTTGCATAATTACGTCGCATTATATTCCGTGAATTTATCGGGAAGGTTCTGTCATAAGTCGTGTTTTCCGCTCCGTCGACGATCCTCTCCTGTCGCGTCTCGCTACTTACTTCCATTCCCCACGTCTTCCGTTTCCGCGCGCAGATTCGCGACGGCGTGGAAACTAAGTACGCGAGACCAATTCCTGATGAACAAACGAGTTGAAATGGAATCCTTCACGATTGCGATTAATGACGGAAACTATTTGGAAAATTATACACTGCTGCATTCTAACGATATTAATGATATTAATTTCTTTATCCAAACAGAATTTTTTTATTCTACATTCTAAAAAATATGGAGCGGTTAACATCATGTGTTTATATAATTCACATCGTGTTGATGTTGAAATAAATATCATGAATTTTAAATTCACATCATATCTATTGATGTGAATTAAAACAATTATAAAATTGCTCATGATTTTAAATCTACACCTATACTTTTTAGAATGTACAAAATACACTGAAAAAAAGAATTTGCTTATAGCCATCGAATGAACAATGTTGAGTGAAATAATTTCAACTAAATGTTCTGGTAATATAACGAAACATAATTTTACCTTTATAAATATTTAACAATTATTGCCATTGGAAATACATAACAGTATCTACATAATTCTCACTGTGTTGATATTAATATTAACACCAATGTGAATCGTTAACACTGTAAGTTTTAAATGCATATCATGATAGAGTTGATAAATACTATAGGTTTCAAATCGACATTATGTTGATATTAATATTAATGTTAATATTAATAATAAGAATTATATATATAGACACCGTTGAGCCCACACCGATATTTTAGAGTATATTAATACTTATTAAAGATAAAATTTATTTAAAGATAAAATTATGTTTAGTTATATTACCTGAACATTTAGTTGAAATTATTTCACTCGACATTTGATAGTTACAACCAGAATTTTTTCAGTGCGTTTGTAGTGCTATTCATTTCGAGTTTCGTAGATGGTGACGATTAACAATATTTTATTTAGTTAATTATGATGGAAGAATGATATATATAAAAAATTATATGATCTCCATTCTATTTTATTTTTCCACATTCTCTTCCATTGAATTTTCCAACGTTTCATTTCAATCTACAGTTCCTAGCTGCTGTTCAATTAAGAAGTTGATACAAACCAGTAAAATCATCTGACATGTTTCTCTTCAATTATTTTAGACGGTGGGAAAAGGGAACTGAAAGAACTACTCGTATTCTCTCTGACTGATTTCTCTAGCGGAAGAGCTTTGTGTTTTCTCAAGTGCGAGAGTGCTAGACCGCCGATTTTCACGATATTCGATATAACCTGCGTTTTTATTAAAGTCACGTTAATTAAAAGTCGCTCGCATTCACTCAGAAGAAATAATAATTTTTTTCTCGTTTCGTTTCAAATCGACGCTACATGGGAAATCGAAGAAAAATATTGCGAGAGAAAGCCGGAGAAGTGTGTATACCGTTTTCCGCTCGTCCGTTCGATTTCGCGCGAAACGATCGTCACCCAACGGAAATCAATGCTACTTTGTTTATCGAGAAGCACTCTCGCGATTCTCATTGGCTGTTTCCCCGTGTGTTACGAGAATAGATTGAATCAACATGCAATTACTATCTCGCAACGCTGCGCTCAACGGCAATGCGCCATCCGTATACGCGACGCTTGTAATTGTAGTTACACGCGATTGCATTGTTACAAATATTCCGGTCGCACAAGGTATCCGGAATAACGACCGTTTCTCCTCTTGGCAATAAATAGCTAAACTCAATACGAGAAGAAATTCATGATGTCGCGCGTAACAAAATTTGTTATTAATTATCGCTAATTAAATAATTTATAAATAGGAACACATATACAGAGTGCACAAAATGTCATACCATTTGCTTTATAACATATTTAGTTTTAATAAAATTGGTACAGAATTGGGATAGAAAATTAATTATCAAAACCTGGAAAATTGGATCATTAAATGGTATGACATTTTGTATATATGCGTGTATATATTATAATTATGCTATCTAATTATGTTATGTCGAAGATATCTGACGGGCACTTCAATGCTTTGATCAAAGTGTCATTATTAATAGTCATATTCCGTGCAGAGCACGTATTCGTTTACATTTCCCTCATGCCATTAGAAGGGAGCTTTAAATTAGTTCGCTTTGATTTATTATTTAAACAACCTTATGGACGCATAATCCTATTTCAAGAGCCTTCTATACCTCGTTTCTTCTTCATTGAACATCGAGATTCTATTTGTGATGCTATATAATATTGTCATACTACGTGAATGGAGTTATTGGTTGTTTCATTCGTCGCAAAACTATAATTAATTAACTTTAAAAGCCATTAACAAGATTACACATCCATACGTTGTGAAATGAAAAGATCAAACAATCCGCACGATTGTGTTATTAAATTAGCTCCAAAATTTATTGTATAATTTTGTATGAGCTGTGATAAATTTAAAAGCCTTCAAAGAAATTTCATGCGTTTATATTAAATGAAAGCATCGAATAATTCTCATTTATATCGATAATTTATTGGTGATACATGCGTAATTGTAATTAATTAAAACAGATTCAAGAGTTACTGCAGAAGTTTTACATTCTTTCTCGATGAAATGACTTTATATATAATTATTAATCATATTACGAAATTAATAATAAAATTTATTATCGCAAAAATTATTCATAATAATTTTAATATATTTTTTTATTTATTTCTTTATTGCGATTGATGAACAATTTATTAAAATTAGTTATTCGTTTAATAAATGTAAAATTCAAGCGTTTTTATTGAAACGCGCATTCGATTGTCAGCGAAATGAAATTCTGGTCTCTAATCATCGCCCTTTATCATTATCATCATTATTCGCAAATTAACTCTACACAGAGCTGTCTACACATACACATATTCATACCAAATTGACATAGTGATCAATCGCGATTTTCATTATATGAGAAAATCACGCGCGATAAAATTCCGTGCTAACGCATTTCCGCTTTGACTCCACTGCCGAAAATGCAGATTTCATTAAAGTTCAGCCCGTTAATATCCGCAATATTATTCTGCCATGCGTTGGTATCCATCGGTTCATAAATAACGTTGTGTCAAAGCGACGTTTATAAATTACCGATGATGTCACGCTCCGATACACTCGCAGCGTTCAGTTTTTTTCACAATCTCGTCCGAATATGGCGCGGGATATATTTAATATGTCGTGTCTAAACATAAAAAAAAACGTGAAATTATTCATGTCGCTGTTGCTCGAATGTAAAAATAAATTTTAAAAATTTGTATTTTGCTTTCTATAAATGTACATTTCTCTTTAATAAAAATCGAAATCTTACTTTAATCAGAGAAATTATTTTCAGTGGTTTCCTTTATTTAAGGTCTTGAAATAACACAAAATAATATAACTGAATACGTAAATATTTTAAGATAGTAAAAAAATTTATGTTTCTATTATACACAAAAAATGATATTGTATATACACTGTTAAACATTAATAGATTAAATTTAAATTAATTTCTTAAATTAAATAACATTTTGTTACTTTTAACTTTCAAATGTATCCAAATATTATTTGTATTAAAAAAACATGTGATTAACAACTACATTTAATTAATCCATTTCTACGATTAAATTGCTGAGTTTCGGAGTAAACAATGTATTATTAACGCATTTAAAAAAGAAACTAAATTTGAATCAAATTAATTTCTTGAATTAAAAACTTTAACTCTATCATTTTAGTTAATATATTAAGAGTAAAAGCAATGGCGACTTGTAAACGAATTATGAATTTAACAGTGTATTAACGATATTAGTCAACAGCAGTCTAATTGTAAAAGTAATTTTGTTAATTCAATGACAGTATTAATGAAACAAATAATGTTTTATTACAAGAGCATGGCGTATTTGTTTCATTAACACTGTCACTTAATTAACGAGATTATTTTCAATTCAAACTGCTGTCGACTAATACTGTTAATAAGTGCATCATTTTCTCGTGTATGAATTTAAAAAAAAATAATTGAATTATATTTGTCATTTTTTATACAACGTTTGATTCTCTGATTGCAGTTGCGCCCATCGCCAGTCTCAAGATAGGTTCCACTCTAAATCCGAAGAATATCAAGGAGGGCTCCGATGTTTACTTCGAATGCAACGTCAGGGCAAATCCCAGATCGTACAAATTGACCTGGTTTCATGAGGTAGGCGCTGCATCGACTACTCATTCACTTTTTTCTTTATTTTTTTATAAATCGGGATTACCAATATGTGGTCCCGTAAATCGAATGTTTAATAATGAGGCGAAAACGATGTGCAAATATTCCCCAGTCAACGACCAGAGTGCCACTCGTGTACACCGACATAAATATAGACTGAACTCTAATTGCGTACGTGATACATAAAATATGAATAATACATGATTCAATCGTTGTTTCTCGAAATAAAAGTAGCCGAAACTTACTGATTTTAATTGTTGACATGTATTGTACAAAAAATTCTAATTTGAATTTAATTATATTGATTTAATTATATTTGTGGGTTATTTTATCACATTTGATTTATTATTTCTTATGGCTTTCTCACACTCTGGAATCGTCGATTGTCGATTTATATTGATGAAATGTTTTCATGAGGAAATTGAGAACGCTATGATCATTTAGAGTGTGAGGAATGCATCTTAGAAATAGAATATTAGAAGATTGATTTTGATGAATTTACATTGAAGATGATCCGAATTGGAGTCGAAACATCCATTTACTGTAAGGTACATTCTAAAGGAATAAAAGACATATTGTCATAAACAATTTACTACACTCCATTAATTGTGTTAGACTATTAGAGTCTTTTACCTGTTTTATTTGTACTGTACATAAAAGAGTCCTGATTTTATTTATTTAATTTTTTTTAATACATATCTTAAGATTTTACGATTGAAATACTTTTAATGGCTTTTGGCCATTGATTACTTTAACATTTAACGTTTATTCTCGTATAATTATCTGAGTGTATAATTATCTGAGAATGAGAATAATTTTAGACAGAAGATACAAATCATAGAGAAATCAGTCGAATCATTATCGAAGGTTATCTGGGTTAGTTGTAATTGACCTACAGGGCATTGCTTGAACGGTTCCAGCATTGACCTGCTTTAACCTATTCTAAATTGCGCAATATACATCTTATTACCGTATAATAACGTTATATTCTCTTCAAAAGATCTTATTGATCGATGGGCATGCAATATAAGCAATATTGCAAACGATTACTTTATCAAAATTGTAAAATATACAAAAATATAATAATAATTTAAGTGTGATTTTGTTAAATGAGTCATATAAGTGAAAACAAGAGCTAAACTTTTATATTTTATCTGCATCATAAAATCTACATCGTACAAAATCTTCAATTTTCCTCTCATTTTCATAAACAAGAAGACCTCACATGAAAAACATTAATTTTGTTGATGTCACAAATTTTAATCGTTTTTTTTTTTTTTTCAGGTTGTAGCAGACTACTTAATTTTAACTATATGTATGAATTTTAACTATATGTAATTATCGTGCCATGTAATATCAGACGATATAATTTATAAAAAACAGTGCCTCGCGCACGCGACTCCTGTTACTAACTTTTCAAAATTTCGATTATTATTAATATCGACGTTTTCAATGCCATTAGTTTTAAAGACACAAAAATGGAAAAGTAAATGAAGGCGCGTACACACACACACACACACACACACACACACACACACACACACACACACACACGCATATATATATATATATTTAACCATTGTAAAGCCGGCCACAGGGCGGAATTTCAGGGAAGACCGATTTTACTGGCTATTTACGCAGGTCCTAATGAAATATCCCCTAATTAGTACGCCTATTCCGTCCGGCATTAACATTGCGCACCGGATTCGTCCGCCTACGGCACTATTCGATGCATGCGGCATTAGCCGAAATGAATTATGCGAATCATTGCGTAGTAACGCTGAAGCGATCGCGTGGATTGGGTGACATTTTCGCGATATTAAAAACAAATATAAAAAATTCGAAATATTAAAAACTGCAAAGCGACGTTATTCAGGCTGCAATTACGTCAGCGACAAAAGCAATATCGTAAAAAAGATGGATTTTTGAAAATTTAACAGATACGAAAATATCGCTGAATTACCCGAGACCGGGATTCAACAATTCCTTCGTATTTCATATTTATTGATTTAATCCTTTATGGATGGATGATTCCGTTCGGAACTATCCCCTTTTATTTTACAAACTGCTCATTCGATTTTCACGAAATTTGTCTGTGGGAGTAATTTGCTAATGTTTCTCAAAACTAAAAAATTCAAAATGATCCAATATTTGTGGATTTTTAAAAAATAATCTGATTGTTATAAAACTCGGTTTTAGGGAATTTTTTAATTGCAAATAATATCAAGTTTTTAGTTTCGATTTATTTGAAGCTCGTTAGTGCGTACAAACAGTACTGAAACATTATGACATCAACTTAATTCCAAACTCTTTTTGGATTGTGCCCTTTGGCATTAGATCTTCCATTGGATTCCACTATGGAATTAGTTATGTCTGAAATTTGACAATAGATTTGTTCATCATGTTGCTCATACTTTACACTCAGAATCTTCGTTTTCTTCAACATCCAAATATATATTTATTTTGTTTTAAATTGTATGAAATATACAAACATTTTTATAGATTTTATACAATTCGAATAAATCAATTTTCAGGCTATATTCAAACTTAAACGTCCCAAAAACTGAATTTCATGATAATTAAATTGTTTTTTTAAATGCGAATTTTAGAATTAACTAGAATTTAAATTAATTAGAATTTTTAAATTAACGACTCCAAAAATTCTTAAAAAATAAAAATCTTTTTTGTTCTCTTTCTTGGATGTATTACTCTATTGAATAAATTTGTTACTATAAAAGTATGAACTCTCACTTTTTTAGAATGAGTGTTCAACTTTTGGAGTGAGATTTCATTCTTAAAACAAAGCGAGATTTTTTTCCTTTGGATAAGTAGATAAATCTCACTTAAAAAAAAAAAAATAGAGTGAAAATTTGCCACTCTTATTCAAGAATGCAAATTTTTCATTCTTTTTTAATAGTGACAGTATTTTCACTCGTTTGGAATGAGATTTCACTTCAAAAAACTTAGAAAATAAGTTTTTTTGTTAAGAAACTCCCTTAAAAATGAATTAAACAAAAAATTCTACTTGCATAAAAACCAAATCAAAGGATTATTTTGAATTGAAACAAGTTAAAGCAATATTTTATGTATTATAAGAGAATACGAAAATGTCATTCGCCAGGAAACGATTTGCCGAAGTTAGCGTAAAAAGGTCTTTAATTCCCGCGTAATCAGAGCGAGGCTTCGCTGCGGCGCGACGCAATTAATCAGATTTGAAGACGCCCCGGCGCGAGACGATTTACTCTCGGATTAGTCTCCGAGGAAGCTGCGGAGGAAAACACGTCTAGAATTTTCCTGCAAGTCTATCCTCTGGAAAACCTCGCACTTGTGTAACTTCGAGTATCTCCGTGCAGAATTACATCGGTCTTCATCGTCTCGCGTTATTCCACGCGAACGATCATTCGCGTTGAAACATTGGTATGTAATTCCTCTCCTATTTTAGCTGGCCACTTTAAACGCGATAACAAACGTAAGTGGAGAAAAGTTTTGACTCTTTTACCGTTCGACACAAGCGATATTCTTTTTCCCAATGGAGACAATCGTCAAAAGTACATCGTGCAGATTCTCTTTATCTTCGGTCACTCAAGGATCGTTGGAGTTAAGCCTCTTGAGCAAGATTACGTCTTTCATCATTTTCCCTCTCACCCTTTCTTCCTCTTTCCCTTGTCAATCCCTAGAGATCATGAAATCCTATGAGAATTTTCTCGATTCACTCGTAACAATCTTGACGTTCTGCAAGGATATCAAGCAATATTATGATGTCGCACGTAAACTGTATGATGTTTCATGAAAACTGCACACTCGAGTCAATAACAATCCTTTGTTAGCTTCGATGAAACTGAATACTGTATGAAGTTTACGACGAGACTATTTTCGTGAACGAGCGAACCAATACTGCAAATAGATTCACAGACTCGAGATAATATCTTTCCGTCTCAAATCACAACGATCGCTCCCATTCGCCTATGTTGCGAATAAATAATGCAAATCGTGACGTGCAAATATTTTCTGGAAATTGCCCAGCAAGATTACAACGGAATTTTCAGCGGCGAAGTTCTTTACCTTTGTCGGTCTCAATTGAGTAAAAATTCAGCATACAAAAAGTTAAAACAAGTAGTTATTTTACTCTCTAAATCTTCTGGATTGAAATATCACTCTAAAAGACTGAAAATTGTACTAATCATTGATAAAAATGAAAATATTTTCACTCTTGAACAAGAGTAGCAAATTTTCATTCTTTATAGAAATGAAATTTACTCCACAGGAATGAAACCTCATTCCTAAAGAGTGAAAATCTGTTCCTCTTGTTCAAGAGTGAAAATATCTTTATCTTTTTTTTTCAAGACTCAATTTTTCAAGATTGGCTCAATTTTCGAGAGTGAGTTTCACTCTAAAAGATTTAGAGAGTAAACTTTTATCTACGAATGTTATTTATCCTATATATCACAATTATTGTAATTTTACTCTTTACACTGTAATTTACATTAATGTCACAACTTTGCTATTGTATAATTTTCACGCAAAAATAGTATTTTTCTTTATCTTCGTCTTGTGTACTTCTCTTCTAATAGATAGAGCAAGGCTTTTTTTATCCATTTTTAATTACTATATAATATCTATTTCTGCATAGTAATATATTGAACATTTGGAATTGCTTCATGCTTGTGCATTTAAAAAAATCATGATTATATAAGGTAATTGTAATTACGTCACTGCAAGGATATATTATTTACTGTCGTAAATTTTATATTACTTTTTAAGATTGAAACTGACAGAATAATCTCTATCCTAATATATTTTTCATAATTATCCTTTATCTGAATCTTTATTTATGTATTCTCCTTTCTCCTATTCAATACCTTAGCTCTTTTTTCCGCAAGTAAATAATAAAACGATAATATAAAAATGATATGTAAGTGAAAGAGAAGTAAAGTGAAAGAGAAAAAATGACAGGAACATACCGCATAATGTTTTCTTTATCTTAA